AATCACTGAAAGTTAGTGAAGGGTGATCCATAAAACACCGGGACTTTATTCCTTTCCTATGTAAACCCAGTTTTTGTTTATATCACTATGGTAACATGAATTTATTACATTGTGATTGTTTTCAAAGTTTTTCAGCCCCAATAGACTGTAAGTTCTTTAAAACCTGTCTCTTTTTGTGTTTCATTGTTTTTTTTTTAAATTCTATTTATTCTGAGAGACAGAGAGAGAGAATGCCACACAAACATTTCTGACAGAGCCGTTGATGCTGCAATCCATCCCTGGCCTCAGCCAGTCCCAGATCATGGTCAAGTCATGCCCGGATACTCAGGAAGGTCTCTGGACTTGAACTAGAAATCTTCCCATGTGGATTGCCCAGCAGAGTGGCATTTCACCACTGTGCCTTCATCTTGCCCTGTATATTTCTATCTTAAACTCTAACGTGGTACCTGATTTCTCCCCTGGGGAGTGATTTTTTGCTTTCTGTTTAGCAAAAATCTCTTAAAAAAAAAAAAAAGAGCATGAAGGAAACATAGAGGAATCAGTAATTCTGTTTTAGGGAATCAAGGAAGGCTTCACAAAAGGTGATATTTGAGCTGGGTCTTTTTTCTTTTTTATTTCTTTTTAGGTTTTTGCTATAGGGCACATGTACTTACTGAAAATAGCCAGAGTTAAAGTGAGAAGTGAGAAATCACTGCCAAGTGGAATAGCCATGCCACGGTCCCTTCTCCTCCATTCCTACCTTGGAATTCTGGGCATGCATACACACATGCCCCACATACTAAGCCACCACATCCAGGACTCAAACTATGGTTAGCCATATGGGAGTCTATTGCCTTAACCACCGCACCACCTGCTGGCCCCTTGAGCTGGATCTTAAAGGAAAAGTTGAAGTTCTTCAGACAGACAGGGTTGGAAAGGGGATTATTACAGACCAAGGGACTGTGTTTCCAGGCCTGGGGATATGGGAGAACTTGATATGTTGGAGTTTCATGTGACTAAATAATAGGGGTCATGATGAAAGGGTGAGGTAGAGGAAGTTTGGGGGCTAAATTGTAAGGGACAGCAAGCCAAAGAGCCAGGTCTTAGGCAATAAGGAGCAAAGCAAGTTAGATGAGCAGGGGAATAATTGTATTTTTAGGAAAATCAAGCACGAATGAATAGGAGGGTTTTTTTGTTTGTTTTTGTTTTTTTCTTAAATGGAGATGAAATTCACCACGTTAAGTATTTTAAGTGAATAATTCAATGGCTTTCGATATATTTACACTGTTATATCACCATTGCCACATTCTAAAAATTCAAGAACATTTTTATTACACAAAAAAATGGAAGGCTTTTTTAAGATAGTCACTGCATACTCTAGTTATAGGGATATAAAGGAAGAGTCATATATTAAAGATATTTCTGAGGTAGACTCATGAGAACTGGGATAAAATGTTAAATTTTGTCATCTCTGTGAAAACATTCCTGAAATACTGATCTGGTATTTTTGCCAGCTTACTCATCATTTTCCTTATTCTGATTTACTGTTTTGTGATAGTTTTATTATCTCTTTTTTTCCTGATTTTGTACTACTTTATAGTTGGCTTTTATGCTTGCACTAGTTCCAGATGTGATCCTTATGAAAGATGTTAAGACTGAGGGACCCTACCGGGGAAATTTACCCACATACTGGGATTCAAGGAATCACACGTAATTTCTTTGTAATTATAAAACAGCCGATTTTATATTGAGTAATGCTGAAGAACTCTTAAGTATTGTTCAACTGTAAAAAAAAAAAAAAATTTTGAGAGATGTTTGCTTAGGGCACATGCGCTCACCAGAAAGATGGAGAGAGACAGAGAGATAGAAAGCAAGAAATCACCTCCCGGGCGGATGGCCATGCTGCAATCCCTTCTCCTCCATTCTTCTCTTGGGACTTTGGATACGCACAAACACATGCCCTGTGTGAGTTTAAGCCACTGGGTCTGGGATTCAAACTGCAGTCACTTCCATGGGAGTCCAGGGATGTAGCCATTATGCCATCTGCCAGTCCTCAATTGTAAAATTTAAAGCAACCCTGGGAGTAGGAATTGACTGACGAGAGCGTTATGGAACTTTCTTCCATGATAGAAATGTTCTTAAATCTTGATTGGGGGGCCAGCAGGTGGCGTGGTGGTTAAGGCACTAGATACCCATATGGTTAACCAACCGTAGATCAAGTCCCAGACCAGATGGCTTGCTGTCTCAGTTTCCTTTTCTCTCTCTCTCTCTCTCTCTCTCTCTGTCTCTCTGGTCAAATTTAAAACTAATAATAGCAAATTAAATAAATAAATGATTCTTTTTAAAAATCTTGATTGGGTTGCTGTTAATACTTTTGTTAAAATGCATCAAATTGTATACTTAATATCTGTGCGTTTTGGGGCTGGCAGATAGCGTAGTGATTAAGGGCACTGGACTCCCACATGCCCAACCATGGTTCGAGTCCTGGACCTGGTGACTTGCTTTCTCACTTTTCATCTCTCTCTTTTTCTCTCTCACTTATTCTGTCCCTCTCTGGTCAAATTAAAATAAATAAATAAAGATAAAACAAAGTTAAAATAATTATTTAAAAAAGTCTTTTAAAAAAAACCTCTGCATTTCACTATGTTAATTTTACCTTCCAGACCTAGTGACTTGCTTTCTCACTTTTTCTCTGTCTCACCTGTCAAATTAAAAAAATGATAATAATAATAGTAAAAAAAAAAATTAAATAAATATTCTCGGAGACCAGCAGTTGGCATAATGGCTATGTTGCTGGATTCCCACGTAGTTGACTGCGGTTCAAGTCCCAGAACCAGTGGCTTAAACTCACACTTGGCACATGTGCATGTATGCCCAAGATCCTGAAAGGAGAATGGAGAAGGGATTGCAGAGTGGCTGTCCACTTGGGGGGTGATTTCTTGCTTTCTATCTCTCAGTCTCTGTCTTTCTGGTGAGGGCATGCGCCCTATAGCAAGAAACCTCTCAAAAAACAAAAAATTAAATAAATATTAAAAAATAAATAGAAGCAACCAAGTGGGGCCTTTTTTTTTTTTTTTTTTTTTTGAGTTTTGTGTTTGAGTTTTGCCAGAGGGCAGACGTGAAAGCATCCCCCAGGGGAAGTGTTTCTCCTTTTGAGATTTGGGGCAAGCATGCACACATGCCTGGTGTGTTTCTTAAGCCACTGAGTCCAGGGCTCAAACTGTGCAGTCAGCCATGTGGGATCCAGCCATCTTAACCACCATGCCACTGGCTGTCCCTCATCTTTGTCTTACTGTACTCCAAATAGTTCCAAAGATATACTCTAGCCCAGCATCCACAGAGGTTTTGATGATGTTGCTGAAGAAAACAATGATTCCTTTCACCGATGTTCTTTGCTATTAACAGTTATCATTCCCCCCCCCCCCCC